GGCAGCTCCTGCATTGAGCGTCTACTCCAGCCGTGGGCAAACTACGGCCGCGGGCCGGATCCGGCCCCTTTGAAATGAATAAAACTAAAAAAAAAAAAGACCGTACCCTTTTAGGTAATGATGTTAACTTTGAATTTATATTAGTTCACACAAACACTCCCATCCATGCTTTTGTTCCGGCCCTCCGGTCCAGTTTAAGAACCCATTGTGGCCCTCGAGTCAAAAAGTTTGCCCACCCCTGGTCTACTCCCTGGTGGCCATTGCACATCATAGCTACCGGTCAGACAGTTGCTTAGCCTTTTATATATATAGATACCCATCAAGTTGGCAAAGATTTAAGTCTGATAATACCAATTTTTGGCAAGGATGTAGAGAAATGAGATCTTACACTGTGGGTGGCAGGGTATATTCCTAGAAACTCTAGAATATAAGTATAAGAATATCCTTTTAACATTGTTTATAACAGAAAAAAAAATTGGAATAATCTGAATGTCCACCAGTAGTGGCATATGTATCTATGGAATACTTTAGAGCATTTAAAAATAAATTAGTTATGCATACAAATATGGATAGCCCCTCATAGTGAAGAATAAAGAATTAATGTCAGTAGTGCCAATGTTTAGAAAACAGAAGTAAAAAACAAAGGATCCAACACAGAAAAAAAGCAGAGGGTAATGGTATAACTATCATTTGATTACCTTAATCTGCTATTTTTCCAACAAATTTCTTGTCATTATGTTTGATACATGATCTACTATTAAACTACAATTTCTCACCTCATACAAATTCATTAAAATAAAACTTTAAAAAATAATTTTATTGATTTTAGATAGGGAGACGTAGAGAGATAGAAACATCAATGATGAGAGAGAATCATTGATCAGCTGCCTCCTGCATACCCCCCACTGGAGACTGAGCTCACAACCCGGACATATGTCCTGACTCGGAAATCAACTATGACCTCCTGGTACATAGGTCAATGCTCAACCACTGAGCCTTGCTGGCTGAGCAAAATAAAACTTCTTTGAGTTTTAGCAGTACTGACTGCAAAGTGCTATCTTTTTAGCTTTTTGTATAGTTTTTGGAATTGTAACATTGTTTGATCCTACATTAATATCTACAAAATCCTAATATCATTTAAATTAATTTCATTTTTTAAGATTTCAATTAAATGATGCAATTTCTCCCCACCATCTATCCATAGTGAAATTATTTCTTCATAAGGCCACGGAGATGGTTCTAATAAATCAAAATAATTAAAAATGCTTTGTTTCTAATAAAAGACATCAATTCATTATTTTTTTAAAATACATTTTTATTGATTTCAGACAGAAAGGAAGAGGGAGAGAGATAGCAACATCAATGATGAGCCCTAGCTGGTTTGGCTCAGTGTATAGAGTGTCGGCCTATGAACTCAAGGGTCCCAGGTTCGATTCCGGTCAAGGGCACATGCCGGGGTTGTGGGCTCGGTCCCCAGTAGGAGCCATGCAGGAGGCAGCCAATCAATGATTCCCTCTCATCATTGATGTTTCTATCTCTCTCTACCCCTCCCTTCTTCTCTGAAATCAATAAAAATATATTTGTTTTTAAAAAGGAAAAAAAATAAACATCAATGATGAGAAATCATTGACTGGCTGCCTCCTGCATGCCCCCTAGTGGGGATGGAGCCTGCAACCTGGGCATGTGCCCTTGACCAGAATCAAACCGGGACCCTTCAGTCCCCAGGCCAACACTCTATCCACTGAGCCAAACCAGCTAGGGCTAAATTCATTACTTTTTATTAACATACTAGAGGCCCGGTGCATGAAATTCATGAAGGGGGGGCGTTCCTCAGCCTGGACTGCACCCTCTCGCAATCCGGGACCCCTCGGGGGATGTTCGACTGCTGGTTTAGGCATCCCTCTCACAATCCAGGACTAATGGCTCCTAACCACTCGCCTGCCTGCCTGATCGCCCCTAACTGATTGCCTGCCTGCCTGATTGCCCCTAACCACCTCTGTCTCAGCCCCCGCTTCCACAGCTTCATCCAGAAAGTCATCTGGAAGGATGTCTGGAATGACGTCTGGAAGGTCGTCCAGCTGTCCAGTCTAATTAGCAGATTATGCTTTTATTATTATAGACTAGAGGCCCAGTGAATGAAATTCGTGCATGGGGGGTGGGTCCCCTCAGCCCAGCCTGCACCCTCTCTAATCCGGGACCCCTCAGGGGTTGTCCGACTGCCTAAACTGGGATCGGGCCTAAACTGGATTGGGCCTAAACTGGCAGTCAGACATCCCTCTCACAATCCAGGACCGTTGGCTCCTAACTGCTCACCTGCCTGCCTGCCTGATTGCCCTTAACTGGCTCCCCTGCCAGCCTGACCAACCCTAACCGCCTCTGCCTGCTGACCTGGTCGCTCCCAACTGCCCCCCTGCCAGCCTGGTCACCCCTCACTGGCCCCCCTGCCGGCCTAGTTGCCCCCAACTGCCCCCTGCTGGCCTGGTCGCCCCAAACTACCCCCCCCCCCCCCGCTGGCCTGGTTGTCCCTCACTGCCCCCCCTGCTGGTCTGGTCACCCCACTCAGCCTGCTGTTCAGTCATTTGGTCGTCCCTCACTAACCCCCCTGCTGGCCTTGTCGCCCCACTCAGCCTGTTCCGTCATTTGTTCAGTTGTTTCGGATGTGACAGCCCCTGGCTCTTTATATATATAGATTCCTGTGCAGAGCTCCACATCTATTTTTATTAAATGGAATGTCTTTTAACGTACCTGACTTAAATCTTTATTATGAAATTCATGCTTTCTACTACCAATTAAAAACTTTCCAAAGCTTTTATGGTGCATTATATTTTTTACTCTATGTTAGTTCATCTTGACTGCAATACAATTGAAATTATCTCAACATTAAAAAATTTTATTAAAAAATGAAAATTCTTCAAAAATTTTCAAGGTTTTCCAAGAAATCAATATTAACTAATCCCTTTGTCAAACCAGAATTTAACAAAAGAGAAAAATGCATATTTTATGAAGGATACGACTGACATAGAGCAGTGGCAGTTCATAAATGACATGTTGCCCATCTCAAGCATTGTACCTGACCAGTTTTAATAATTTCAGTTTCAAATATTTTTGCTACAGTTTCTAGTTTAATTTTATTTTTGTTGGGTTGGTGATAAATAAAATAAATTTTATCCAGAATATTTTTAAACAATTGACTTATTTTATTTTAGGTAATGAATTGCATTAAATGATTTAAACAGTGCCAAGTGATGACTTTAGAAAAATTTTCTAACAAATTTGTAACTACTCCAGACTTCCTTCCCACTACTGTAGGAACACTATTACAACAAAAATGTAATTAATTTCACTTTCAAATATTCATTATCAAAGGCCCAATCATTTAAAGCAGACAATACTGAATTAGAAATATACTCTGCTGTAGCTCATACCAATTCTTTTGAAGTAACAAATATCATTACCAGTAGAGAAACTGACTCAATTGCATATTGAAGATTCATTACTAAGTGCTTTTCTTTAATTGTAGATGCCTAATCAATGATAGCACATAACTGTCATTCTCTTCTATGATATCCTTAAATATCTTCATATAATTTATTTTGCAATATATTTTGCTGTTCTTCCTTATTGCACTGTATCATGTATGTAAACAACTGCCTATATCCACTTCATTTTTCTCTTCTAACTCTATGCCCCCTCACTATCAAAGACTACTGTGTTTTACTAAACTATAAAGAATATTAAAAACTTTTATGATAGTACCAATGTCTTTATTTAATTTATACAACAAATTGGCAATTAAGTCATTAGGTGCTTGCTTCAGCAGCACATATACTAAAACTGGGACTATATAGAGAAGATTATTAGCATGGCCCTTGTGCAAGGATGACATGCAAATTCGTGAAGCTTTCCATATTTAAAAAAGAAACTGAGTCATTAGTTGATGCATCTAACAAATCTTGAATTATGGTACAGTCTTTTTAAAAAATCATGTTCCCTGATTTATTTATTTATTGGCAGAAATTTGCCTACGAGTTTTATTAGTACCATCTCAGGTTACTAAATATGACTTCCATTCCATGGAACAATGGACATGCTTTTCTGCTGTCACTCCTAAATGCTGAACTATCAAACAATTTTATATCCATTCTTTCATTTAAGCCTTTTGTACCGTTCTGAAAACACTCCTTTTATAGCCAATTTCATGCTACAAATGTGACAGCTCTGAACACAGAGTTGGGAAGAGATACATATATTATTACAGTATTTCCTTCATACAGACAGATAACCTTGAGAGCAGAGTTATTAGTAAAATGAAGTTAAAAAATATAAATGATGAGTTTTGAATGTTTACCTGTTCTTCACATATTTAACTGTAAATTTATAAAATTTGATTTTTAATAGTGGTTATGCTTAATACCTGGCTCATAAAATCCATGAAAATTTAGCAATCAGCCTTGCAAACTGGTAAAAGCCAACTGTGTGTATAGTAAGGGAGGCTTTGGGAGAGCAAGTAATTTGCCTGAGTTGGTAAGTGGCTAAGTCAAGATTCAAATCTAAGTCCAAAACTCTGACACAGGTTAGATTTCTTGGTGAATAAGGACCATAATTGGCATGTGTGTGTGTGTGTGTGTGTGTGTGTGTGTGTTTTAACTTGCAGGGGGTGGGGCATATACTGAGGTAACTCCACATGCAAGGGAATGCATTTTCTGGACTACCATCTTATATTGATACTAGGGGCCCAGTGCATGAATTCGTGCACACTGAAAGAAACTGGGCCTCGGTGGGCACAGGGGCGGGTCTCGGCCCATCCTCCATGCCCCCTCCCGGCCCCTCCCACCATGGCCTTTGGTCCCCAGTCTGCTGGCAGCCCTGCTCCCACTGCCACCACTCCCATGTGCTGACAGCACCAGCCCTGCTTGCACCCGCTGAAGGCATGAAGCGACTGGGGCTGGCACCAGCAGTGGATGTGAGTGGCAGCTGCTGCTCCTGATCCCCCCCTCAGGAGCAGGGGGAGG